TTTAATTTATTTTTTATTATAATTTGATTTATTAATAATGAGGTAATTTATTTTTTATTTAATAATATAATTATTTTATAAAGATAATAATTAAATATTCTATTAGAAGTTAACGATTATCCTAAAATGATATGTTTATCTACAGTTAGTTAAACGAACTCAAAAATTGAGCTTTAATAAATTATAACTTTAATAAATTATAATTATGTACAATTTACTTGTAATATTGAATTTTAAGTAATATGTATTAATTAACAATACTTCATGCATAAAAGATGTTTTTGAGTTTTTATCAAAATTTTATACTATAGTATAGATTACCATATATTAACACAATAATATTTTAGAAGCAACAATTCAATGTAAATTTGTTTCGTTTAGTTTTCATAAATTAGTCTTGTTATAAATAAAAATAATGTTGTTGTTATTATGTTTGATCGAAACCTAGAGTCGTTTATCAAACGTTTATTTATGCAAACGCTTATCTAGTGACATTACCTTACAAAGGAATATAATGAGAACCAATAATCATCCCCGGTAAATATAAAGTAATGACCAAGAGTCTTATCCGGTGAATGAAAGCGATGACTTTTACCACGATTAACGTTTACCGAGTAAATTGTTATATGCGATATCGTTTTTGTTGACTAAAATTTTAACAACATACAAGGATGGATACACTTAGACCATCCCTCATTTAGTTAAATTGATTGTTATTAATTATGACTTATTGGTTACTCAAGTCTGTAGAAATCAAATTGACATATATTAAAATGAATATACGTTTAAGAAACCATAGTGCTTACGATTAAATGACCTAAACTTATTATAATTAACAAATTTAATTCATTATTCAATATTATTTTAAACTACAACAGGAATAGGAAAAAATCAATTAATTTGGAAACATATGAATGCAATATAATTTTGTGGGGCAAAAAGTTATGCCATTAAACATTACAAATTCATTTTTTCAGGGGAAAATAAACACAAAATTATCCAGAAAATAAAATTAGCCCCTAAAACAAAACCACTTGACTATCTTTTAGACACGAAACGATGACGTTTCTTTGTTTACAACACGTCATCGAAACTCCAAAGCTCAATCGAACCACCGCCAACAACGCCGTCTGGATTTGCTGGAGCCTCCACGGCCTGCCCTTCGAGATACGGGATCTCGTAGAATTTCATGTATGATTCGTACGCCATGAGTTCCTCCGACAGCTTCTGCACCTCGTTCTCTTCAAGTTCCGCCTCCGCTTTCGTCTTCGTCATTTTTTCTTCCACCATTGCCGGAAGAAACTCGTTCTCGGAACCCATTGAAAAACTCACAGAAGAATCATCATGAACTCCGCTACTTTTCTTCAGATCACCATGAAACAGGGTTTGGGGTTGATGATTGTTTTCATCGTAAGAATCTCCTTCGTTTGGGAAATTAACCTTGGCTTTTCTCCCTCTGATTTTTCGAGCTTCTCTATCGTAAGCTCTGGCAGCTTCTTCAGCCGTGTTGAAAGTACCCAACCAAACCCTAACGCCTTTCCTCGGATCACGAATCTCAGCTGCCCATTTCCCCCATGGACGCTGTCTGATTCCACGGTACAAGTTCTTCCTCTGTCTTTTCTTACCACTCCTGTTATCTTCATGCCCACCACCTGTTTGTGAAAAAGCATGTGTCAGAAAGAACCATTCCTGCATCTAGTCCCTTAAAGAAGAATGCATATTCATGACGTATAATAAATAAATAAATAAAAAGGAATGAAAGAAGGGTTCCTGAAGATGAAGGAGCTCGTTTACGAGGAGGGATTTCTCTGACAAAATGGTTAAATTCCGATTGGAAAGGGTTGAGTTTAGGGTAGATGTTGGAGTTGGGCCAGACGTCGGTGGGATTGAGCCGGCGGGAACGAGGGATGAGATCGGCGAGAATGGCACCGCCACACATGGTCGGAGTTGAAGTTGATTGAAGAAGGAAAGGAGAGATTATAATAATTGGTGAATGGAGGAAGAAGGGGGAGAAGGGGGTTTAAGTAGCAGAGGAGGTCAATGCGTGACAGCACCATAAATGAATCTTCCCTGGGGTGTTCCCTTTACCAAAATATTTCAACCATTTTTAGTGGTAGGTGTGGTGTATAAATTTTTAGGTGATTTTTGTAACATTATTTATAACTTATTAAATTAACAACCTATCCTAAATTACTTCTTATGAAAACAATCTTTTTTGGGGGTATTATATCTTTTTCAAATAAATAATCTATACTATATTATAAAAAAATTTAAAAAAAACTCTTAAAAACCATTTTTCTATGCATTTTTTTATTACTTAAAACTAGAAGCGTATTCGCGCAATGCAGCGAGATACATCGTGTTTTTAATATTTCATTTTATTCTTTATCTCAGTCGATGTATAATATGGCTTTATGTGATTTTGAGAAAGCGATGATATTTTTATTTTTTAATAAAATATATGTTTGA